AAATGGGCAAAATGACACCAATCTTAATCAAAATTATGAATAGACCATTATTAAATTTGAAGAACACAGGAAATTGTTAATAATAAAGCCCAAGATGTGACACACATAATCATAGTTCTTCAAATTTTACAGTTGTAAAAATCCTTTCTAAAAGTCAAATTTGAATTGGGCACAAAGGTCCAAGACCTTGACTGCACACAGATAGACAATATAAAACAGAGAGGTTGTACCTGAGGCAGAGCAAGTTAATTTAACATCTCTGTCTCCAGCTGTAACTGTCTGATCTTCTAGTGGTTTAACTAATATCGGTTGGGCAACTTTTACTGGTTTGGCTTTTTCTGAAAATGCATCATAACTTTCTACAATCAAAACGTTTTTTTACATAGAACATGCATAGACAAGGCAAGGGGTTTCAAAGGCTTCAATATGCTATTTTGCACACATTTTTTTGAAATTAAAAGTATATTTTAGTTATTTGATTTCACAAATTTTACAAACAATTAAAACATTTGTGTAAGATCACAATTTAATGGATACTGGGATATTAAATCCCTTTCAGAGAGTCCACATAGCTAGCATAGTATCCTTTCAGAGAGTCCACATAGCTAGCATAGTATCCTTTCAGAGAGTCCACATAGCTATCATAGTATCCTTTCAGAGAGTCCACATACCTAATAATGTTTATTTGGTATTTAAGTTTATAGAATCTGTATCCTCTCAGAGAGTTCACATAGCTAATAATGTTTATTTGGTATTTAAGTTTATAGAATCTGTATCCTCTCAGAGAGTCCACATACCTAATAATGTTTATTTGGTATTTAAGTTTATAGAATCTGTATCCTCTCAGAGAGTTCACATAGCTAATAATGTTTATTTGGTATTTAAGTTTATAGAATCTGTATCCTCTCAGAGAGTCCACATAGCTAATAATGTTTATTTGGTATTTAGGTTTGTCAAGATTATGTTTATTTGGTATTTAGGTTTGTCAAGATTATGTTTATTTGGTATTTAGGTTTATCAAGATTATGTTTATTTGGTATTTAGGTTTATCAAGATTATGTTTATTTGGTATTTAGGTTTATCAAGATTATGTTTATTTGATATTTAGGTTTATCAAGATTATGTTTATTTGATATTTAGGTTTATCAAGATTATGTTTATTTGGTATTTAGGTTTATCAAGATTATGTTTATTTGATATTTAGGTTTATCAAGATTATGTTTATTTGGTATTTAGGTTTATCAAGATTATGTTTATTTGATATTTAGGTTTATCAAGATTATGTTTATTTGATATTTAGGTTTATCAAGATTATGTTTATTTGATATTTAGGTTTATCAAGATTATGTTTATTTGATGTTTAGGTTTATCAAGATTATGTTTATTTGATATTTAGGTTTATCAAGATTATGTT